AGCACCAAGAGTCAGGGGGGCGGCGGAGTCAGAGACAGACAGGGAAACATTATACACATCTAGATGTGTATAAGAGACAAGCCAAGTATTCTGTATTTTCAACAGATTAAGATTAATAAACCAGATATACTCTTCTTTGAGCATACATTGTGGTCCCCCCCCTCCCCCCCCGCCGCCCCCCTCCCTCTGCCCTCTCCTCGTTCTTGCCTCCATTCCGGATCATGCATTTGCGTTTGGCAACGAGTCTGCGTGTGGCCCACAAGCATCCGGATAACGGACTTCAAAAACCGCAGCGGAAAAGAGACGCAAAGGCACTACCGCGAAAGCACTGTGACAACCTGCTCCTATCATCAAACTTAGAATTTATGATGAACCGAACACCAAAAGGTAGTAAGATGCCTATTACGGTCGTGCTTTTTTTCAGCATATGCGAGCTCACCTATCTTGCATTAAATGAGGGGGCCATAGCATATTCCCCCCTGGCATAGTCAAGGACCTGCACACAAAACAGTCATCAACTTCGTCTTAATCGCCATCGTATCAACAAAAATGGGGTTAAAGAGGAGGAAGGGGCGGGGGGGGGGGGGGGGGGGGGGAGGGCACCATTTTCCCATCAAATGCAGAACATTTTAAGCTCAGCTGCGTCAGGAATGCACACAAGGAACATCCACAACTTAGCATGGATAGACGACTGACGGAAGACGAGGGGGATTCGAACCCCCGACATGTCAATTATTCGTCGAAAAGTGCTCTTGGGAGTCATCAGCCTGGTATCGAAACTTGGGCTTCATTAGCAGGCTTTATATGAAGCAGAGACGTTTTCGTCTTCACGATGAATGACAACAGGCACTAACTGGTTTGCATCTTGGCCACCTGTAATCTTCTACTTGAGTGGCCCTTCTGATCCGGAGGCATTGCAGGGCTGGTCGGGTCGAGACATGGCATCGGCGGGAGGAGCTACGAGCAAGTCGGGGAGGCAAAACCTGTCTCGGGTTGTCGTTGTCAATCTGTGACGTAAATCAGCGGCGTGTCTGGAGTGTATTTTCGGGCTGTGACAGACCTTGTTTCGTGGGCGTTTTGCTGGCTTGTGATGGGGTGTGAACTTGCAGTCCGTAGAGTTTTTGGTCTGGTGCGGGTGACTGATAGACTGCTTTGATTTTTGTCCTAGGTAGCTTGAGGGTCGTCCCCCCCAATATATGAGGAGAGAAGGAAAAACAAAACAAAACAAAAAAATGACGCACGACAAGAAGTCACTCATTTTGCACTTTTACAGTTCTACACAGTTTTTTCCAGATTCATGGGTGAGTTTTTTTATTTTTTATTTTTTATTTTTATAACAAGAGAGGAGAGCAACCTCTGTCTGGCAACCCGTGGGTGAGAGATGAGCGCGACCACCCACTTTCTCTTAAACCAGGGGGGTATGCGATGGCCATCGTGGATAAAACACGGAAATTGGAAAGTGAACCATCGCTGGGACGAAGAGAAAAAAGATTGGCTGACTGGCCAGGAACATGCTGCCTGCCTTAAACCACCAGTACTTGGCCCATACATCGGCCGCGGGGCGTTGTCGTTAACGCCCCGCAACTTTCGCGGCCCAGATAAATCGCATCAACGGCCCAGAGTGCGCCGCCAGCCTCCAAGAGTCGCGGGGAGGGCCCCGCGGCCGATGTATGGGCCAAGTACTGGTGGTTTTAAGCGTTGTCAGCGACAGGAGGATAATCTGCAAACTGTCATCAAATGCTTGCTGGAAGGCCGGACGGAGCTGTCGAGCGAAGCGTCGACTTGGAAATCGGGAGAATGGGGGAATGCCTCTACAGGAACTGGTCCCCTTGAGAGCTTACCTATTCTCTCATAAACAGCAGTGATCAGTTACTCTGGCTGTCTTCAACTCCTTTCTCTCTCTCCTTAACAGCAGGGATCACTTCACCATTACTCGGCTCCTCATCCATTCTTTCTGAATAACTCCGTGGGAAAGAACAGTCCTTGTCCTGTTCCTTCTCAGGAAAACAAGGTTTTTTTTTTTTTTTTTGTTGGTTCATGGCCCAAAAGGGCGAAAACAAAAAACGTGTGGATACTGCAATTGAAGGCTTGGATTTCGACCCCCGCAGAAAGAATGGGCCTGGACGCCAGGAAGAAGTAAAAACCTGAAAATGGAACAAACATTCACATCCAGGTTTACTCAGTCGAAATACAACCTACTCCTCAAAGAGTGAAGACTAAGGGCGTCGTTCGACACTCCTCGGGGACGCGATTCCGAGGATTCCGTCGTCGTTCCACCTGTCCTCGGAGCCGATTTTCGGAACAGAAATGTGAAAACACTCCGAGGACAAATCCTTGGGCTCCGAGGATTTCCCAGCCAAATCGTCCTCGGCTCCAAGGCACCTCGTGAGGTCCCTTGGAGCCCGATGATCCGTGTTTCACGGAGAGGAGAGGGCATGCACATAGAGAGACGTTACAACCGAGAATCCTGATTGTGGCGGCACCCTATTGGCTGAAAGCCTGCAGCACAACTTTTTTTCTTTTTTTTTTCCTTTTATTTTTCTGACATTGCTCCGAGGACGAGTCCTAAAACCGATGCTCCGAGGATGACTGGAACGAAGACGACAAAAACCCTAAACTTTTCCGAGGATTCATCCTCGGAGCCCGAGGATGCCCCGAGGAGTGTCGAACGACGCCCTAAGGATCCGAAAGCCATATATAGCTGCATTTGGCCCAACTTCCAGTCCAGATGCAGCAATAATGACCGGGTGATGCAGCGATAATGACCGGGTGTCAGGGCTGGGCCAGCAACCGGCCGGATCACCTGCCCCGGTCCAACTGGGGCCGGACCGGTCCAGAGGGGGGTGAACCGGCAAAACCGGATGCCCCCAAAAAATGCCCAATTTTTTCTATTTTTTTTTTCTGATTGCGGCATCCGACTGTGCTCGCTGAGATCTGTTGGATTCCACAATAAAACTTGCACAGTCAGGAATTTCTTTTTTTTTTGGGGGGGGGGGTGGGGGGGGGGGGGGGGGGGGGGGGACGTTTTTTTTTTCTGATTGCGGCCCCAAGAAAGAAGAAGAAGAAGTAGAAGACGACGACGACGAAGAAGAAGAAGAAGAAGAAGAAGAAGAAGAAGAAGAAGAAGAAGAAGAAGAGGAGGAGGAGGAGGAGGAGGAGGAGGAGGAGGAGGAGAAGGAGAATCTGATACGAAAGATGAAAAAACAATATCGCTATGGCTATGGCTCTGGCTCAACGGGGAGGGAAGCAGAGGAGCAGGAGAGGAGAAGGAGAAGAAGAAGAAGAAGAAGAAGAAGAATAGTCGCCCTACTTCTCAAAAAACTATCGAAACAAGACCCAAATCTTGCCACATTTGAGGTATATGAACTTGAACACACAGGAAAATCGATCACACTAGTACGCGGAGAGAATCTTGAGGAACTAGAATTTAATACGAGTGACCTGAGAAAGGTCAGAGAGCTCAAAAATGAGCAGAGGAAAGGGAGAAAAGAGAAAGGAGAAAGAAAGGAGCCAACCGGGCTTTTTAGGCCAAACAAGGACATAACAGAATTAGAAGTTGACCCAGGGGAATGGGGATGGTACGAGAATAGGGGAAGAGGACGGGCCAAAAAATGGACCGCCCTACATGAACACACAGTAAAGACTGGCTACAAAATAAGAAGCAAACCAGCAGACCCGAATCAAACAATAGCAAAAAGATGGGAAAAACAGCTAGAAATAGAGGCAAACTGGCTGCAAAGCATACCTTGGACATACTACGCATCAATCAGACCACAAAGAGTGAGAAGTCTGCAATGGCTAATAATGCACCTAGCAGTCCCAGTAAANCTGCAAAGCATACCTTGGACATACTACGCATCAATCAGACCACAAAGAGTGAGAAGTCTGCAATGGCTAATAATGCACCTAGCAGTCCCAGTAAATGCATGGCTAGATGTAAGACGAAAAGAAACAGAAAGATCAACCACTTCCGCACACTGCAAAATGTGCACGGAAAACCAACCGGAAACCCTCACACAGTGACACACACTGCTTAATAGAGTGCCCACACGCACAAACATTATCGAACAGGTGTTCGTCAATGTGGACAAGTATAATAGGAACGGAGTTCCCAAAAGACAAATTCTTCCTGCTAACAGCGATATATATAGAAGAAACAACCGAAGAGGAGAATGACCAGATACTAGAACTTTTCAGAAAAACTACAATATGGATCATCTGGAGAGCAAGATGCTTGGATACAATAGGGAAGAAGAGGATATCGGCAAACGAATCATGGGTGGAAGCTAGAGAATTGACAGAAGCAGAAATAAGAATAGAATGGAAGAAAACCTTGAACAGGACGGACAAAGAGGATATAGACAGCAAGAAAAACATAATCCATAAGGAATTTGAGGAGAGATGGTCAAGGAACGGGCTAATCGCAAAAGTTACCGACAGGACATTACACTTCTCAAACTGGTGGAAACAGAATGATGAAAATCAAACAGCAGAAAATGAGCAAAGCATACCGATGGACCTCGAGGAGCAGAAAAAGAATGAAGACAGAAGTTTCGGGGCCAAACTGTCTCAATACGATCAGGATAGCGAAGACGGGCAAAAACAGTACCCTCCTCGAAAACTGGGACATAAAGGGTTCCTGGAAAGAGCACAAATAAAAAAGGGCTCGTTCCCTTCTGCCACAGAAAAAGGAAAAAACGCTGACTATAAGGACACCCCTATCACCAGCCCCTCCCACTTCTGGTGCACAATGGTTTTGCCCGCTACGGAGCTGGACATATGCCACCACACCTGGACCCTCTCCCACACCGACTTAACACCCCCTCACTACCTCCAGCCTTAAGGAAGTGACAGATTATCGGACGAGAGACTTGACACTTCGGATTTCAATCTTCCCATCCCCCATTCCCAAGAAACCCATCCAGCTTCTTCTCTGGACTAACATTCCGGATCAGACTCGAAAAGCAGAAACGATATGGTTTGGTCTCATCAGGAAGGTGACGCTACGGGTCATATGGAAAAAGAGACACAGCAGAACAACTGAAGGGCGGCCCAGCCCAAGGAGGAAAGGTTTGGACGGATTCCAATCAATGGTACAGGCCGAGTTTCACTGCAGATGGCAGAAAACCAAGTAAACATGGTCAGAGGATGAGGGGCAGCAAAAGAGAGGGAGACAGAGTTATGACAACAATTGGTTGTTGATAAACAGCAAGATTGCAGAAACACGAGAAGATCATACCGGATGGAAAGAGTGGCACAACTCGTTATCAGAAGGGAGCTACCAACAACGGACAACTACGGGGGGACTATTTACTCCTCGAAAAGCAGACGGACGAGGATAACACGGTAGGGGTCCAGGAGTAAAGGGATAAAGATAAAAAAGTTCAGAGACGGGCAGCAGAGCACCAAGAGTCAGGGGGGCGGCGGAGTCAGAGTCAGACAGGGAAACACGTATGGGGACAGCATACCTAGGACATGAACTCAAGAGGGATTGGG